ACTCATAGATTTTTAAGGATCTCTTAAGAATTTTATGAGAACTAGGTTATTTTTTTAATTTAAATTTTAGAATTCTGAAGTCAAAATCGAATTCAATTCTTGATGAAAATCCTTACAAACAAGAACTTCTATAAGTCACTTTGTTAGAAAGCTCCGGTTTTTTCAAAAGGTTAATATCCATTCGTATCTTCTTTCTGCAAGTATAAATTAAGATAAGTGTGTATATTAATATTAAATAATTGTATAAATATTAATTAAGGACGAAGCTGATATTCAGTCGATACGGCACGTTTGATTGAATATCAGCTTTGTGCATTTTTATTTTAAATAAATTTAAAATAAAAATAGCTTTATGGTTTCAAGAATAAATCAAATATAAGTAAAAAGACTATATAAGTCTCTGCAATTGACGCATAAATAATATATTTATAAGATGGTAAAATAAAATTCGCAAATAATTAGATTGAAATTTACTTACATAAATATGGAATTTACTTTGGATCAGTCTTCTTCGCTTATTGCCTCATAAATGTATTATTTATGTATCAACAAACGTAAAAATTTATTTATGCATTTTACTTATTTTGCATTTAATTAATATATAATATAAATTAAGACAAATGGCGCATTTGTCTTAATTTATACTTGTGCCGTAGAAAAGTATGAATGGATGTTAAACCTTCAATTATAAAAACCATTATCCCCACCCGAAGTAATCCAGAAACCGATCAAAAAATGCGATCGAGTGTAAGTAATTTTAAAAAATTTATACAATGTTAATCCGTCTTCTAATATTGCCAATTTTTTTAAAATAGAATATATGTGGATTATTAAAAAAGTCTTTTTTATCAACTTGTAAACGAACTTTTTCTCTAATCCAATATAAAACGATAAAATTTAATTAAAAAAGTTTGTTCTCGTTTCTGCACATAGATACGAAAAATATCTCTAAAAAATTATACTGTTGTTTTAATATTTGGTTTATCAGAATTGGGGGAATTCTATAATTATAAATGTTAAAGATGTAATGTGAAATAAGTATATTAAATTTTCCTTGACAATCCTACAATAAAGTTCATTCAAAACGCTAATTTCGCCGGAAACATTAAAATTATAAAGTATACTTCATTTTTTCGAGATTGAATTATTTATTGTCATAATAGTATTAATTTCTCCGTCGGTAATTCATTTATTTCTTTAGGCATTCACGTTAATCAGAATTTGTCTATATCAATAAAGTTGAATAGTAGTGAATAGTTGACAAGGAAAAATTGTGACAATCGTAAAGATAGTAGGTATGTTCCTTTCAATTTCTCGAGGGATAAGACCAGCGGCTTCAAAGAAAGAAAGATTCACGAAAAAGTTCTATCGTTTTTGGTACTGGTAAGCGACATACCATAAGTAGGGGTTGACACAATCAAGATGCACATTCTTGCTGAGATTTTTCTTATTCGTATACAGAATATATATACGAATAAGAAAGAATATGTCAAATGTCGCAAATTTTTCATTTTAAATACAAATTCTCTAAAATTCAGATTAATGTTTATTAACAAAATTCTGGCTTTCAATATAATTTAATTTCTTTTATTTTAAGATAAATATATACTTTACAAATAAATAATACTAAAAATAAATAATACTAAAGTCTATATATAATTGAAATTAAATTATAATCAGTCAAGCACGTGACATTATGATATTATTCGCGAGAGGTCATTACGTTTTATAGACACTTTTTACTATATGTAGTGTACTACTTTTTTTGAGAATATAGGATTTAATTCCATAAATAATATAATTTACTGCACTGAATATATTTGTTGAAAAAAAAAGGGGTGAAAGGTTCACTTTGGAGCTTTTCCAATTTCTTCGAAAAACAATTTCCAAAGTTGTTATCTTGGAATGTTTGATAGATATATGGGATATCCTAAGCTCTATTTGCAGTAAATGTTAGAAATCAAATTAAAAAAAAATAACATATTTCTTTCTCGACTAATAATTTTAAACCAAACATTTTTCCAATATTTATTTGGCTTGATAAAAATTACTATTTATTGCTATTCAGAGTTTGTATACAGAGTAGACTCTTATATTATATACATTAAAAAGAATAAGTAGAATAAAATCGATGCATCCATAATATTTACTAGCAAAGATCGGGAGGAAGTTCTAAATTTTTCAGGGAATTAGCGAAGGGAATTCGATAAGTAAAGGATAAAATAAACATGAAATGGAAAAGTGAAATAACAGACAGCGATATAATGACAGATAAATTATGTAAACATTATCTTTTGCAATTTTTCGTGAAACGAGCAAAAAATTAATATAACATATTAAGGGAAGTATATTACATAAGAGGGATAAAAAAATTTATTAATTGACAATTCGTATCAATATTTTTCTGTATTTAGAGTTAAAAATGAATATACTATTCTACGTTTACATCTCCTCCTTTTTAAAGAATTTGACATCACATATCACTTTATACGTGTTATTAATGTACAGAATGGCCAGGGAATTGTAATACTTTTGTTAAAATAATAGTTTATATTAGAAAATAAAAGAAAACATAAAGTATGCCAGCATAAATATAAAAGTGGAACAATTGCTGCAAATCGTCGGTTATAAATCATCTTTCCTTTTTACGTTTCACTCTAAAAAAATATAAGTGTGACTGTAACACACCATATGCCGTGTTTATATAATTCTCACCCTGCTGGTGTTGATATAAACCGGTCGTAAATCCACACCATGTTGGTATCGATATCGATATCAACATGGTGAGAATTATACGAACACCACATGGTGGTAAATTCACACCCATATTTTTTAGCGTCTATATATCTACGTAGTCTTCAATTGTGAAAGTTCTCCGTTTTTTTTCTACCAAATAATACCATTATACGTCCGACTTTATTATTCGTCTGATGTAATAAAAAAGACTGTAAGTTTTCGTTTATAGAGGACTCTCATCTGCGCCGGACGCGTAGAATTAAATGTCATGCCTTTATTTATCGGGATATACCTAGATTGGATGAATTTCGCACTGTGCGATGGTGGTTGGCGTCCAGGTCGTCGTTTAGCAGCGCGGATGCGAGATCATTCGGGCTGGCACGGCTGGCGTCGTCGCAGCTCGGCCGGCGCGGCGCACCGAAAGCGAGAGAAGAACGGCGGGCCCGACGGTACGCTCGCGTCACTGCGCCCGCGTCCGCCCGCACGCGCGCCAGTACTCCTGTCGGACCCGTGTTACGCCAGACTCCCTTCATCCTCGCGCCGTTCCTCGTGGTAATCGTATCGCGCGTAGAACCGAGGATCCGTATGTGACAGCCGATCAACGACAGATCGAATTTTCGCGGCGGTGACGAGTGTTATCGCGGCGAAAAAAACCGATAGACGTTTTGATGATCTGTCGGATGAACGGTGTGGTCGCGCGACCGAGGCGGACAGCGACGAGTTCTAGAACGTGATCGAATTATCGTGATCGAATTATTGTGTCAGCGGACGATGCACATGAACCCTGTTAGAAAATTGGCTGGGATCGAAGAACCAAAGAATTTAGCGGAATTTGAAAATTGTGATGGACGAGGTGAGTGAATGGAGAACGAAAAGATGGAAAAGGGCACTCCTCGTGCTCCGCCTCGAAACCGATTAATCAAGCTTGGTATAGGAGAGGAATGTGTTACGGCAAAGTTTTATCCTCCGATTAACGAGGAGTTGTGGAGCACGCGAGTTTGTCTTGTCGGAAGACCGTGATTACCACGTTCCTTACGTGTCCCAACACGAGTGTAAATATTCACGTTCAGATACACTGTAGGAGAGAACAGCTTTGAAGTTGCACCGTTTTCGAATCGCGGCACTCCGTCTGCGAATAACGAATTTTAAGGTAAACGTCTGTTCTGCCCTCGCTTTGAGAGAAAACTCTGATTATACGGGTACGAAAAGCAAAGTGATTTATGGTGGAAAAGAAGGACTCTTCGAAGGTGCAAGAAAAACGAGAATTTAAACACGCGCCCGTGTACAATCATGTAGCAACTATACATCGAACCAAGACACGATTTGAACTTTAATCGACTTGAACTTTCTCGACGAGAGTATCAATTTCGTTTTTTTCGCCCCGGGCATGGTTATTTTTTTATAAGAAGCAACGAACTTTTATAATTAAGGACTGAATTATACTGCCAGTGTTTTATGAAACATCAAATTGCTTCCTTCTGCATCATATCTCTACTTATAATATAGATAGAGAGAGAGAGAGAGTAAAGACTCAATTTGCAATCAATCAGTGCAATCAAGAGCAACTCAAAGTCTTCATTCTCGAGAATTTAAATCAACGACCGAGACAGATACATGTTACCGATGAATGAATTTGAAAAATTTGCAGCGTTGCGACATATATTTGGCGTAATCGGAATAGTTGGACGTCAGATCGATCTTTCGCTGGATCTCGTCGATGGGATTTGGTCGAGCGAGCGTGAGCAACCGATTGGCGGATCGTCCGTTTGCACCACGTTCAGTCACCATGCCGAACAGCGCATTCCTACAACGAGTATTACTCGCGATTGCGAGCTGCCGCGAATCGGATCGCCGAGAATTCCCGCCACGCGAGACAGCTCGAGTCGACGCGCCGGAAACGTCTGTCTCTTTAATTTTCTTCCCTTTATTCGATGTCCAGTGTTTGCTGTATCCTAGGTAGATGATATCGAGCGTACATGTTTTTGTCTTGTAACTCGATCGAACGCGCCGGACGTATTACGACTACGTACAGAAAAGGTGAAACGAAGACGATGGATGGCGAATTCCGTGAAGAAACACGAGAGTGATCGAATGAAAATAAAAACGAGTACGCGATGGTGAAATTTTGAACGCAACTCGAAGAGGGTAATACAGTGAGATAAGGGTACTCTGATTTTGTGAGTGCGCCGTTGCTCGAGTCGGTAATTTTCACGTTGAATCTCGGTTCGCTTAGCGAAGGAACTGTGAAAAAGGGTATGAGGAAGAAGCGTACGGATAACACAGGATAGCGATTGGCCCCTTCTCGTTTCGGAGATGCGGCGCTATCCACTGCATATCAACGTCGCCCTCACCGTCGTGTTACTGGCGATGTGTGCAACCGTCGTGCGGGCCGGCAAACGAGGTAATGATTACCGAAAATATACTCCGTATATTTATTTCATAAAACCTATTTCGTGGCTTCGTAATTGCGGTGGTAACATCGTGAAAACATTAAAAGCACGTATCTAATGCACATATCTGGATAAAATAAAAATGCAGCAAACAAGCTGATATTTGTCATTTGTCGTCGTTTTGACATTAAAGTAACGTTAAAGACGTCATTTTGTCGTCAAAATAACACCAAATAACGTCAGCTTATTTTCTAGGGAGTTAAAATAATATCATTATCATTTGATTTGTCACTTATAAGTAAACTTATAGGTAATAAATAAGTTCATAATAACGTCTTTATGATAGTATTACACTTCTGTGTTCTATCTAGATGAAAGGAGTCAACTTATAGAAAGGAGAGAAATGAAAGTGATTACGTAAGTAATTACTTTCTTTCTACAGAAAGCATAAATGCTTTTCGTTCATTTATTATTTGGGGAAACCGTATTTAGAAATTATACGAGTACTTTTATTCAGATATAAAGATAATTGTTATGTGATTCATAATGTTTCTATAAGTTTTTTTATTAGATTTATATTTCGTATCTCTTGCGTTTTAATTTTTTGATACATTTTTTAGATAGTAAACAAAATATTTTGCATAATTTAATGATAATCTATATATCTTTAAAAACATTAATTAAATTCTTATTTTGCCTTCGTTAAAGTATAAAAATATTACAAAATAAATATTATTTTTAAATTAAAGTACGTATTTCTTCTAGATAAAATGGTCTTACGGTCGTAGAGAGATTTTCGAATCAGAGTAGGATTTTAAGTAAATCTTCGAATGTAAATTGTATCCATTCAGGATATGTCACACTTTCCAAATTTCATTATTATTATTCTAAAGGAATAGTAGCTTTGTATTGAATATCGATCAGAAAAACAATTTTGCCAGTGAAAGGTATCTTATGGTCAGAAAACGACTTTTCACGGTTTGTGCAGGTGAATATAGCTTCGCGATTCTTGGCAGACACAATGGACTCGCGTATTGTATCGTCGATTCGTTATCCTTACATTTCCGATTGAGATGGCTTTTGGTACGCTTGCCAGAGCAGAATTTTACCTCCGCCATGCTATACCGCCTCCATAACGACTCAGTTTGCGGAAATAGAGGATAGCTAAACTGTCGCAAATATCGTATTCTGTGAGCTTTGTTATTCTGAAATTCGATCTAGATATTTTTAATCTCAAAGCATTGAATAGAGTAAGATAAAGATTGAAGATCACAATTATTTTTATATAAATATAAATATACGTTAAAATTACTATTCAATAAAACATTACATTCACAGTAATATTACACTATGTATATTATATGTATATTAACTACACAGTACTCAAAGTATTCAATATTGATCAAACATTGTTGCTGTTATTGTTAGATATAGGTATTATATTACTCTCTAAAGATTATATGTAGCTGAATAGAAAAGATAACATAGATAATATTATATCGAATTGTTATAATTGTAATAAATTTAATGAAGCTTGCATAATCAAAAACATCATGTGATAGATACATTCTGATATCAATACATATCGCGAAATAGTGTAAATGGCATAATTGATCAAAATAACATTACTATTGTAATTGGAGTTATTTTAGAATATCCTTCTTTGATAATGAACATAATGATATGTCATCTATTTGCATTAATATATAATAATTAACTTTTCAAATTACTGCATAATTAGAAAAGAAATAGTTATTTATAATAAATTATATACACAAATTCTTATTTATTTTATTCGGAAATATTAATATTAATGTTAATAGAATAGTAATAAATATACTCGCTGATATGATTAATTAAAATAAAGTGCTTTAAATATATGAATTCAATTTTCATTAATTATTTTGAATAACGATATAATAATTGGTTATAAATACATAATTAATAAGAACATAATGAAACAAGATTTATTTGCTTTGCAAGGAATAGCTTTTGCCTTCACAAAAGCTGTCATGCTAACATGTTAATAATTTAACGCGTTAATTGACGTTAAAGTATAACGATTTAAGATATTTAGATTTATATACGAATAAAATATTGTTTTATGTAAATCCGATATATAAGTTTGAAAAGTAACCTGTAAGAATATTCATAATTTTTAATCAAACGTTGTTTCACTCGTTTGCAGTGATAACGTTTCACTGGCTATGCGAAACTCTATGTGAATTAATTATTCTAACTGCAAGTTTAATGAACGTCACTTCGTCATCCCCATATCCTAGGCCGTATTCAGACGATCTAGTTTAGTTTAGCTTATAGTTTATGCCTTCTGTACTACATAATACGCGTTTGCAACTTGATCAACCTTACATCGCTGTTACCGTTTAACACATTTAAAGTAGTACAGTGTATTACATAATACCATACACTTTTATTTACCGAGCTTTATTTAACTGTTATTTACCGAATTTAACCCAATAGTTTACCTTTCTCCGTTGGATTGATTATTTTATTTATAAAATATTGGCAGTACGCAAAAGTTCAGTGAGTAATTCAATATCTATTTTACAATGCGGATATATTTTTAACAAGCTAATATGATTTTTATTTGACAAACTATATAGAAATTGTTATGCGAAATGGAAAAAGTTTGCTAAATTAGAATTAAGCGGATAGTTTGCTTGTTTGTTTGGGCAAAATTGTTTGTGAGCACAAAGTGAAATACGAATACAGTTTACTAATAGCAAAACCTTAACAATTTTTCGGCCGTTTATTTCACGTATGTACGTGGCAAATCTTTATATGGTACAGGAAGATCTTTAGACTTTTAAATATTTTTAAATTCAGCAGCTTTTGTGCAACGTGTACAAGTTTGATATCTAATAACAGTTTTCTTCGAGGAGTCCGAAGTTCTTAATAGAGCCAAAAGTTTTCACGTATAGGGGATACTTAATAAGTTAGACGATAATATCTAAACAACCCAATTTGCAATTTAATATAGGTACACCAAAATCGATAGATCGAACAACTTATTTATAAAATATTAAGCGCAAAACTTTAATATAATATTAGTTTTAAGACAGTCATTGGAATTCTAATTAATGTTTTTTTTTATAAATCGATATTTATTGGATAAACTTAACCAAAATATTAGTTATTAATTTTAATATATAATAAATGTATAATAAATTACAGCTTATGCTAAATAGATCAAATTTAAAGGATTTATTTCTTTTCAATGTTGAAATCATTCTTAATTTATAAATAAGTAAAGTTTTTGTATTTTAATTATCTAACTTTTTATCTAAAACAAGACACATTTGTTATTAGCCTCAAAGATTTTAAAAACATACTATTATGTTTTATACAATAAAAGTC